ATGTGAATATAAAAGCATGACATGATGATATGAATGGTGAGGTAAAAACAAGTGAGGTGTGATTGCATATAGGGTTTTCCTTTAGCTTTGAAATGTGCATTACTTAGAATATTAGTTGTTCACTAGGCTTTTCATCTCACACTCGTTTTTAACACTTTTTTAGAGGAATATAATCCGAGTCATAGGTGAGGAGCTAGCATCCAGTGTGGTCAAGCAAGGCATTTCTAAATAAAGTGTATGTTGCTCAAATCCATGTGGTGTCAACATAGGGATCATTTTGGAACCTATATATTTGTTAATATGTTGAGTTGTAATAAGTTTGGTTGTGATGTGGAACTTTGGTATTGTGTTGTAGATTGTTAATTAGTTTGATTTGTTGGTTTAAAATGTTGAATGCATGTTGTTGGTTGAGTGGATCATGAAAATAGCCAAATGTTGATTTGTGCCTTAAAGAAGTGGTTGGTTTGTTAGACAAATGACACTAAGTGTACTAAACTTATTAGACTCATAGGAAGCGTGAAATGATGCAAAATACATAATTGGACTAGGTGACGTGTTAAAAGTGAACCAATATGCAATGTTTGACTTTTAATGCTAAAACCTTATATGATGTTGTAACTTGTGTTATGAAGCATGATAAAGGTTTATTCTAATATGTATGAAGTGGTTTAAAAGTGTCTAAGCATGTATATAGTCCCCATGATCGTTTATGTGGAAGTTTCGTAACTCATTTATGCATGTTCTTGAGAATTATACACTTTTCCATAAAAAGGATGTATCCCTTAGGGGAAATGATCGATCCTTTTTCAAAAAGTATCAATCCCTTGGCCAGAAGAATCGGTGCCAACCTTTTTGTTTTGCAAAGGATTAATCCCCCGTGAAAAAGAATTGATCCCTTGTCTGTGTGCTCGATGAAAAATGGTAAAATTGCATTCATTAAAGGCACTAAGTGTCCCTAAGTCTTAGTTAAACCCAGGATGTTTATATAAGTTTAGAATGGTCCAAAATTGATTTATTAATTAATAATATACCTTAACTCAGAATTCAATCAGACTTGAGGTTGTCACACTTTAATAAACCTAATTACATAATAGAAGTGTCAATTGCATGTTTGTTGATGGTATTTAACTTTTGAATTATTTACATTTTTGTCCCTAGAAATGTATGCTCAATTAGGTCCTTGTTTTATTTCGATTAATATAAGAACTTGCATGTCACTAATTAAGGATAAATTATAAATATTGGTAAGTTTAATTTGTTATTTACCCTGTAATTGTTTGATTATTTGAAATGATTGTTTTACCCATATTTGGTTAATAACATATATCTTGCAACGCTTCGATGTTTAAATTATGTTAGATTATTATTGTTTATTTTCTTCCAAATGTTGAATGATATATGTTTAAAATTTAAATGCTTTCGCATAATGCACATGATTTAGGATTTTGTTATGTTCGACAAGATCGGAACCTAATATATGCCCAGGTACATGGGCATTTCCACATTGCTACATTTGGTTTGAAAGTTTTTGCACGTCTTGCCTTGATCACCGGTACGCTTCTTACCTTATTTGTTTAATTGTGTGGTGTTTAGCCTAGTTGCAATGGAGTCGCGTCGTTCTATTCTGGGTGCTCTCGGGAATAATTGTCTTTCCACTGGAGCTAATGCAATAGAGATCGAAAGTGGTGCCAATGGACCCTTACTTGCGGCTCTACAACTAAATCGTCTTATTGATGTGTCGACCGAGGCGGTTATTGGTGCCTTTCACCTTTAGGTCGACTACTAAAGGTCAACTACTAAAGGTCACTTTGGCCTTGGTTTCCAACTTGATTCAAGCATGAATTCAAATTTTAAACATTATTTCCAAGCAATTACAATCAGCCCCATATCAATTTCAATTCAAACAACTAAATTCCATAGAACCCTAACATGTTTAAATCCTTATTTAACCATTTCTCATTGTTTTCCATCACTTTTCAAGCATGGAAACGAATCAACATCAACTCTATACATCATAATTCATCTTTAGAACATCAAAATCTAACCCCCTCCATCCATTCGACTAACTAAACTAGAGTATCAAGCATGGAAAGCATGAACAAATGATATCGAATGATAGAGAATCTCCAAGTAGAACGATTTTCTATTTCATGCTTTCATCCAAAATCCTAATAAATTGGCTTGAAAATTGAAAATAAAATTGTTTCCTTACCTTGTATAAAGCTCTCGACCATGGAGGAGAGAATGAAGAAAACTCTTGATTTTTCTAAATAAAAATCTCAAGTCATTTGTCATTTTTAAGGCTAAAATGAATTTTTAACACCAAATGATCATTTTACCCTTTAAAACTCATGTTTATTTCCATGCCACATGCCATTTTATTAATCGTATGGTCAAAGGTGAACCAACAAATTGATAACTTCCAACTTTACCCTTGAACTTCTCCAAAATTACAATATTTCCATTTTTCATCCAAGGGTCTCGATTTAACATGGAAAATCAATTTAAATCCAATGGTCCATGTTAAATTCTACTAATTTAAAACATGGAAATGACATTATTAACCTTTCTCTATTATCCTTCAAAATATCTCTAATCCGATTCGATTATTTGAATTTTTCTTGGACTTTATCACTTTATAGTTTTTAATACAAACTACGTAACAAAATTTTGATCGACACGAAAATATCATTTTCGAGGTAAACTATTCATTTATGGGACTAAACAACATAACTTTTGAAAAGTACAACTTATTCCCTAAACTTTTCCCAAATTTACACTTTAACCACAAAGCTTCCAATATATTCATTTTGATCACTAGCCAAACTTTTGCGGTATTACAAATAACACAACCAAGATATGGGAAGCTATTAGAATGAGGAATGAGAAAGTATCATGGCACAACTTGATTTAGCAACTTTTCGACATTTTGTGATCTTAAGGATGGCCATGCTGAATAGATTGCCTACAAGGGATAGACTGATCTCATTTGGTCTCCAAATTGTTGGGAGCTTTGTTCTTTGTGATAATGAGCAGAAAACAAGAGATCAGGTTTTCTTCAGTTGCTCTTACTCTAAAGCGATTTGGTCTACGGTGTTGAGTGCTTGCAATCTGCAGTGGAGAGTTATGGATTGGAATTCAGAGGTTGCATGGGCCATTAGTATGTTTAAGGGGAATTCTTTGTTTACTGTCATCTTTAAAATTGTGTGGAACTCGGTCATCTACCTTGTCTAGAGGGAAAGGAACGCGATAATTTTTCAGAGGAAGCAAGTTTTGGTGTCCAAGCTGGTCTGTCAGATAAAAAATGTAGTTAGATGGAGAGTGACGAGTAAGAACATTAGTAGGATTAACTCTGTTAATAGCAAATCATGTATAGATTAGAATCTTGTATAAATTGTTTGTTAGAAGTGAATAGTGGACTTTGTATTGTTTATTTTCAAGTGTCTGCTATTTTTTCTGGATAAATAAAATAAACATTTAACCAAAATAAAAAAGGTCAAAGGAAGTTGAACGGCGTCCGACAAAGTCGGGCTCATAAGACTGAGACTCCTAAAAATTTTAAAATCGAGAAAAACATAGAGGAAAATTAAATGAGTTGGCTTATGAATTTCATTCAATAAAATTTGAATCTTATATGTATTAAATTTAAGGCTAACTTATATCATTAGTCTTAAATATCTCTTTTATTATGTTTTTGTAACTAAACTATTTTTTTCAAAAATTATACTTAATATTATATTTTGATTATTTATTATTAAAAAATTAACAAAACTGTTGACGTGATATTATCTTATGATGATACATCAGCATCATAGTTAATATTTTAATGGTGGATAATTAAGATGAAATTAAAATGTAACGTTATGTATAATTTTAAAACAAAAAATAATTGAGTGATCAATAAGGAACAAAAATAATAGTTGAGATACTAAATATGTAATTTATCTTAAATTTTATAAGCATTTTAGATTTATATATATATATATATATATATATTGAGCGAATAAATAAGAAAATAGACATTGAACATATAAAGATGCAAGATAATGTCTGGGCATATTAGTGGATATCGAGGATAGACAATGTCTGTCTAAAAATTTAGAAATGTGGGGTTTGTTTGCTCCATTCAAGGTCCAACCAACTCTTTTACATTTGACCATCAATTCCATATTTGGCCTCTTTTCAAATTTGACTTCTCCTTTTTGCTTATCATTAACAAACATTCTTTTTGGAAATTAGACTCCCCCACCCCATGTAATAGTATACATAATCCAACAATAAATTATTTTAAATTAAAGTTTTATAATACCCAATCTGAATTATTGATTAATAGGTAGGATAATAATAATAATCTGACATAAAACTCAAAACAGAAATAATAAAGCCAACGTGAAGTAAAATAGTGGTGGGGAAAATAGGGTTTGCATGTTGCAGAATGACCCAAGGTGTGCATTAGAGGCCAATTTGACGGTCAAGATTAAAGAATACGAGTGTACCCAAAAGGGCCTGATACGACAAATTGTTGCATTGCAAAACGCCTGAAACGCACAGTGTCCCCCGGCTAAGAATATCTCGAATTGGTAAATTGCAAACTATTTGGACAGTCAGATTCATCGGCAAACCCATTTTATCTTGCAGCCTCGAAACTGAGAGAAATATAAAGGAAACTGAAAGCATATACAGAGCCCAGAATCTCCCAGGTAAAGCAAACTTCAGTTCATAAACAGTAAAAGGCGAAAAAAAAGGGTGCCATTGTTGAACATGCAAGCAAATATCAGTAACCCAATCTAACGGTGAGCATGATCTTGATATCTGATGATGATGAAGAAGAAGTAGAGGATATGTGAAAGTTGTACTCTCAAAACGGAAAGGTTTTAATATAAAACTGAAGGTGAAACTAAAGTTAAACAAGTTGAAAAAAAAAAAGAAGCGAAAACAATCAAAAGCAACTAACAACATAGAGAATGATACCGTTCTAACTCCCCTATTGAACACAGACAAAGTAGACAAACAAAAGAAAGCAAATAAAATAAAAATAATTGACTAGACCAAACGAGGATGAAGACCATGTAAGCGTCGCCATCATCGTGATACGTTTCATTGCATGATATTGACCGTCAATGGGAAGAGAGGTTTCTTTTTTCTTCTTTATTCATTGTTTTTTTTTTCCTTTTATCTTGTAAAGTCATGGACAAGGCTTGTTGGCCTATCTGTGACGTTCAGTCTCCAAGAAAGCAAATCTCGATCACTATCTTCAATGAACCTGAATTCGTTAAGAGGGGAGAAACATGGCATTTTCTGGTTCTGATGAACCCATGAACTGTTGTGGTGATAATAGCCATTATGTTGCTGATCCACCATTGATGAGTTGTTGTTTGCATTTGCTGCGCTCGCTCTTCTTTCTTCTTTCTTGAATCGGATTCCACAGGCATTGCACAGTGACTGCAATTTGACAAAAATGACTACATATAAAGTTGTTTGTTCTACATATATAGAATTGTTGGAATAATTTGTAAGTTTTTTATATTACCTTTGGACCTCTTGGCCCGTTCCTCCAAAGTGGTGTAGAAGTGGTGTCGCAGTTGGCACAGCGGCGAGCTAAGAGCGGATCATTTCCGGAGCTGTTACTGCTATTCCCATTGCTTCCACGGCTAGCTTTGGTGGTTTGGTGTGAATAAGCTGGTGCATTCTTTCTCTGGAACAAGTCCCAGCAATAGCTAGACATGCAAGGATTACCAGAGGTACGTTCATGGCGGAGGATGTGCTTGTTGTCATCGTCTTCGGAGAGACGAGTCGATGGAGTCCCCAACGAGAGAGTGCAATCGACTGAAGATGAAGACATGAAAGGGTAGACGGTTTTTTCATCGCAAGATCTGTGGTCGGGCATGGAAATTAGCCAGGAACAGTTGCTTTGGCATTGAAACAGGCCACATGAACATGGACCCATCATGTTTCCCTGAGAGCTACTGCACCTATGCATTGTTTTCTCAACCTCTTTCTATATGATTATGTATCAAAGCCTCAATTTCAGCACTATGGGATATGGGGAAAAGATCAAATGAAAACGAAGAGGCAAGGGGATTGCAGATGAAAATGCAAATGAAAATGAAGTGATGGTGTGGGAGTGGGGGAGTATGGTTTAAAGAGTAATGGCAGGGTATAGTAATGGCAGGGATAGTACGAAAATAGTAAAAACTGAGAACCAAGTGCAATAATATAGTGTTTGAAAGTAAACTGGAAGAGAGAGGGGGGTGGGGAACTGAGGGAGAGTTGTTTGTCTGGTAGCTTTATAAGCTAATAAAATGGCGAAATACCAGTCAGCAGCACCTGCAGTCCACGTTGTCGTCAAATTGGAAGGGAGAGAGGTACATGCTTGAATAGCAAGAGAGACATAAAGATCCAGACAGAGAGGGTCCCAGGTTGCATGTTACAGTCTTACAGAGAGAGCTGAAAACAATAAACTTAGGAATATGAAGGGTTTAGTTAAAATACTACTAGTATACAAGTAGTGTTGAAGGAATAGAAAATAAGGGATGCAGGAGTCAATATTTGTGGGTTGATGGGGGCAAATGGCAATGGAATTTATAGTCCAAAACGGGAGGGCTGGGTAGTCAAAAGAGAGGCACGTGAATAAAGGGAACAGTCTTCCATGGATCTACCTCCCTTCTCCGATCACGAGGCACTATCGATTAGTATTACGCTGAAACACAATGCATCAAAAAGAAAAAACTCTGTCCGTATCCGAATCTCTGCTCCCTCTCCTCTGTCATTGCCAGCCTCCCAAGGAAAATGGAACTGTTCCCCCACTTCTATTTCCACGCGCTTTCTTCTCACGCTCCTCCGTTCACCACTGTCACACCTCAGCTATATTCATTTTCACGGATTACCTTCCTCATGCAATCTAGCTTTATAATGTGAATTAAATTTTGGATAAACTACACGTTAGTACCACGACTATTATTTTATTATGTTTTGGGCATCTAACTATTTTTTTCAAAACATGTCTAACGTTACGTTTTGATTTCATTTTAGTCACCCAATTAAAATAACTACTGACATGATATTTTCTTTATTTTTTCAATGATGATGTAGTATTATTTTATTGTGATACGTCAGCATTATTGTTAACTTTTTAACGGTTTATGACCAAAATAAAATTAAATTTAAACATTAGGTATGATTTTGAAAAAAGAATAATTGAATGATCTAAACAAAACAAAAATGACAGCTGATATACTAAACATATAATTTACCCTTAAATTTTTATATGTGTCACACCTTTATTTTATTTGAATTTATTTGTTTTAATTTTGGGGGTCAAATTGATAGACTTTATAATTTTGGGGGTCATTTTGTAACTTTTAGGTAATTTTGGGCCTAACCTCTAATTTGCCCAACCCATATCAACTAAAGGGAAAACAATGAAATAAGGGTTTGGTGGGATTAAACTCGTGACCTACACAAGTAAGGGAGCTCATACCTCTACAATCTAAACTACACTCCTATTTGGAATTTTAAATAATGAAAAATTATTATAAATAGATTTAAAACCATATTATGAATTCCTAAATTAACCCCCATTAGAATCAAGTCATTTTTTCAAAAAAAAAAACATAAATGTTTAAAACCCCTCCATCACCCCTCACTGTCGGTCGTCTCTCTGACGAGTTGTTGCATGTACCGCCACTGCCATTGTGACTATTTTCGTCTCATGACCGAAGCCCATCCATCCCCTCGTCATGAAATACTATCATGAAGTGTCATCATTCATAGTAGAAATTCCCTTGATGGCTCATCGGAAAACCAAGCAGTTCCCATTATATTTCATGAATTTCGATAACTTTCTGTCATGATCATGAAAGATATAGAAATCGGAGAAGACGGATGATAATTAGGGAAATTGGAAATAGGGTTAGGGATTTCAATTAAGGGGAGGGGTACTGCCAGCAATGAATGAAGTCATGCCAACAACACCTAACAACACCTGCGAGGGAATATAACTATTACGGATAGATGTATTGTCAACTGGTAAATGGTTGGTACAAAGTAAATATATAAGCAATGTACTAGGTAGGGCTTAAGGCATGAAATGAATGAATGAATTCTCAGTTTTTTTGAATCCCTTTTATTCTCTTCTTTAATCTCCATTTCCTCAATTTCCTTCAATTATTCTTCTTCTATCGCAGTGACATAACAATTGGTATTCAGAGCCATTATTTCCTGCAACTTGAAGAAAAAAAAACCAAGGCATGGCAGACTCCATTAATCTTTCTTCGATTCAGAGGCAGCTTGACGATTTCACCAAGATGATAAAGCATACAACAACTAAATCAACTCCTCCAAAATGGTGGGAAGAACAGAATGCTCGCATAACTGATTTGGAGATGAAAATGGACACAAACCAGAAATCGGTGGAGCAGATCTTCCAATTATGGCTAGTACAATGAGTAAGAAAAAACAAAAGCAGAAGGGATTTGGTAATGTGTCTCAGGTATTCGAAAAAATGCAAGCAAAAGAAGCTGATCCATTCATCATTGAATCATCCAGCCTCTTTGATGGTCAAAATCTTGCAGAAAATGAAGCTGAGCAAAAACATACAACGAAAAACGATATAAAGGCTACTATAATGGATGATGCTTACGGTAAGAACATTTACCCTATTTATACACTTGAAGAAGCTTGTTTTATGCCCAAAAGTAAGTTAGAAAGCTCTGAACCACAACTTAAATGTTATGCTAAAATAGCAAAGAGTGGCCCCAATAATGGTGTTATGATACTTCATTGCAGCGGGCATAAAATATTTGAGAAAATGTTAGAGCTTCAACATTGCGTAAACCATAGCAGTGGTGACAAACTTCTCAGTCGTGGTGCTAAAAAATCAGAAAATATGAGTCTAAATAGGTACACATCCACTGGTTAAATCAATACGAAAGTCTGAAGTCTTACCTCAACATGGATAGAACCAAAATTTGGGAGGAGTTGAATCTGAAATAGAGACTTCTCCAAAATCGAATGCAGATTCCAAATGAGCTGAGAAAGAGAACCACCATTTATTATGATACAATATGGAGGGTGGACCAATATCAATTGAGGAATATTGGAAATCAGGGTTTTGATGATCCATTTGGTGATAATCCTTTTAAAGTTGTTCCTTCAACTGATGCTACCCCAGCTGCACAATAAATTTCTACTTCCACACCTACTTTCCAGCCTGCAACAAACCAAAATGCAGTAGCTCCTCAGTTACATTCTGCAAAATTTGAGATAGTTACCAACTTCAATTTTAGGGATTCATTATCCGCCAATGCTTACTCTCTACCTGGTATCTTCACCGTACAACCTCCATTAACAAATCCCCATTTTCTGCCTCAGGAATTATCAACTCCCAATTAGGAAAATAATTCACTGCATATATTTTCCACCTTCTAGACCTACACAGCCGAGTACTACCACATATAGCCAATCTATGTAGCCAAGTGTTAATCCTTATAGCCAACCGCCACAACCCAATGCTAATCCCTATGGCCAACCCTCACAGCTAAATGCTAATTCATATGGTCAACCTGTGCAGCCAAATGCTAATACAACTGGTCAACTTGCACAACCAAATGCTAATCCATATGACCAAACCATGTAACCAAATTCGAATAATTCATATGTTAATTTTAACCCACATACCATGTCTATAGCCCATCATATTCCAGAATCTGCTACCTAAAGCAGCAATGGGAGCTTCAACTCTCAGATAGGTTCTAATGCTCTTGTCAGTTCACTTATGTCTGCTCAACCTCAAAATAACAATGATTTCCTGGGTGGATTAATTTCACAACCAGTCTCAAAGCCTTCAATGGAACCATAAATAGTTACTCCATCGGCATAAGTACTTGCTATAGTTCCAGTTTCAGAACCATCGAATGATAAATTTGAGACGAAGTCGACAGTTTGGGCTGATACATTGAGCAGAGGACTAGTCAATCTGAATATATCTAGATCTAAAACAAATCCGTTGGCTGATATTGGAATGGACTTTGATGCTCTTAATCGGAAAGAAAAGAGGGGCATGCTGGATTTAAATACTGCTGAGACTAAAGGTGATGCCTCAGAAGCCCTTGCACAGGCATTGCAAGAAAAGATGGCAGCACTGTTGCTTTTATTACAACAGGAAGAAAGGCATTTACTTGAGAAAAATGTTAATGCAACTCTTCAGAAAAAGATAGATAAACTTAATAGAAATTTGCTTCAAGTTACAAATGAAAAGGTGAAGGCTCTCCGGGAGTTGGCACAGTTCAAACGGAGATATCAGTTATTGTAATCGAAAATCAGTAATGAGATATCAGAAGGGTTTGATCCTTGGGGACAAGGATCATTTCAAGGGAAGGGGAATGTCATAACTATATGGCAAGTCAACAAAGAAAGCAGCAGGAATTAGTTATTTAAAAAACTTTTGAATCTAAAATTTTTTCAGAAGACTCAAGCAAGGCTGAAATTTTTTGCTAAAATAAAATTGACAGACAGAGGTATAAAGATAGAGGACAAAATTTACCTGAAGTTTCGGTCTTACAATCAAACCTCACTTGCTCTTCGAAAATGATTAAGACTAGCAGCAAGGGTCTATGGTACCTGCATCATTTTACATTGCATGGGGTTAGTAGCATTTAACTTGTTATATGAGTCCTCGAATGTGCAAACAGTGAATTATGATAGTTGGTTGAAAAAGAAATCTGGAGATCAACACATTACCTCATTGGAGCCTTCCAAGTTTGGATATAAAGGACAATTTAAGGTCCAATCTGCTATGAAGTTTGACAAACATTGGGAGAAGTACAATCAGCTGTAGTTGACGAATTTAAGGTTGGAAAATGTCTTTGGGGTAAACTATATTATGCTTAAGGCACAATTGTTAGGTTTTGATCCTTATAGACAATGATCCTTTCATGGAGGGGGTATTGTTATGATCATGAGAGATATAGAAATCGGAGAAGACAGAGGAGAATTAGGGAAATCGTAAATAGGGTTAGGGATTTCAATTAAGGGGAGGGGTACTGCCAGCAGTGAAGGAAGTCACGCCAACAGCACCTAACAACACCTGCAAGGGAATCTAACTGTTAGAGACAACTGTATTGCTAGCTGGTGAATGGTTGGTAAAAT